GACACCTTTAATAATTTGACTAGTGACGCCTCTCACGATATCCCCGGCAGAGTCCATCATGGACATATGGAGACAAAAATCTAGGTGAGAGGTGTAAGAAACGCATTCTGTTTATGTATATCTGCTGCCAGTTAAAAAGAGCAGTGGCTATATAAATTCTATCTTAGTAACACACTAAAAAGTAAAAATGTATAAATGAACGTTTTGCCGATTACGCCCACCAAATTTGGTTAAACAGGCTTATTTTCTTCTTAGTCAATTGGTCAATTGTGTAACTTCGTTTTTTCGCAAGCGCCTTCAAACGAACTATCAATATTAAGTTGAAAGAAATATGTATTAATTTTGATCTAAACCATGACAAATTTCTAGACACTTAACTGAACTATGTCAATCGCTTAAACAAACCAGACCAATTTCGATATTTCGTTTATCCTGCGCTTATTTCTAAAAAAAAACAACAATTACAATTAAGATCGTTTGACATACCATATCGATTCAAACATGACTTTGTTATTTGCTTTTTATTAGCTCATTTGAATAGAACTGAGGCAATCGTTTTGGGAAGTAACCTTACTAATCCATGACCAACTTAACCAAACTATGACAAAGTCACTGTACTAAACGCTTCTCGATATGACGACGTTACTACCCGTGTTTATAACAAAAGAGGAATTGGTTTGGCTTTGAAGGAATCTCACTAGTAACAATAGGAGTTCATCCTATTTTGGCGTTTGAATCAACAAAGAATGGTATGTTTTTAAGGCAAATAAGTGTATAAATTAAATGATAAATAAGTTTAAATAAAATTGAGAATGGAAATGGGGAATGTGTCAAAGAGACAACAACCCGACCATAGAGCAGACAACAACCGAAGGCCATCAATGGGTCTTCAATGCAGCGAGAAACTCCCGCACCCGAAGGCGTCCTTCAGCTGGCCCCTAAACAAATATGTATACTAGTTCAGTGATAATGGACGTCATACTAAACTCCAAATTATACACAGGAAACTAAAATTAAAAATGATACAAGACTAACAAAGGCCAGAGGATCCTGACTTGGGACAGGCGCAAAAATGCGGCGGGGTTAAACATGTTTTTTTTAAAGTCTGCTTTCTTAAAAGACAGTGATATATCAAAAAAGAAAACGAATATTCACTTTTTGCGTATATTTCTTTCATTCAATATTGCCAATATCAACATATGTTTATATAGTTACGTTTTAATATTTAAAAGTTTTAAAATGAAAACTAAATAGATGTTTAGGGTGAATTTGTTTCTTTTGTTTGTTATAGATTTTGATAGACGTTATTAAAACATCTGAAATAGTCATCAATTAAAACTTTCAAAAAAATAGCATTTACCGTTGATAACTTACAATACTACAGCCTTCAATTAACAGAGGACATTTATACATAAGATTTAGAAGATAATTGAAAGTTTGTTGTCGGAGTAAAAACAGAGGCTCTCAAGAGCCTGTGTCGCTCACCTGTATTTACTGTGGTTTTGGAAATCATGTAAAATAAGGTTAAAATCATATAGATTACTAATAATGATTGAGGCCAAGGTTGGTATAATTTGGCCCAGTAGTTAAATTAAAAGCAGAAGATTTTTGAAAAGATAATAAATTGCAGAAAATAATTTTAAAGGACAATAACTCCAATAAGATGTCAATTGCCAATTGGTCATGTTAACTTATTTGTAGATCTTTCTTTGCTTGATACTTTTGCTGTTTACAGTATATCTCAATCTATGATGATATTCAAGATAATTAACAAAAAATTAAAAAAAATCCTTTCCTCCGCTCCAAAATTTATTTCACCCAGGGCCTGTATAATGCTGAAAATGCCTTTTAATGTTTTTATGGAACATACATCAAAACAAAACTAACACGTCGGGAGGCATTCACCCAATATAAGTATGCTGAAAGAAAAGATATAATAATGGTTTATAGAAAAAGTAACACTGAATAATTCTGAAAATAGAACATATCAAGGAGAAATTATTAGCACCCACCCCCTGAAAAAAATGCACCCCCCCCTGGAAAAAAAAATCAAGTAATCCCATTGTAGTCTTACAATAGTTACTGAAGACCTCTTATCATTATTTAAATTAGTTTTCAAGTTGTGACCATTTGAAATTGTTTTTTTTACATTTTCCCCATAGAATTCTATAGTAAACCCCTATGTTCTATTTTTACCAATGGGGACCATGTTGGTTGTAAGGCAGGGTCATCGCATACATATTTCAATCAAGATACTCTTATATTAATTGTGTCTAAGTTTAATTCCATTTGGCCAAGTAGATTAAGAGGAGAAGATTTTTGTAAAAGATTAAAAAAATTACGAAAAATAGTGAAAAATTGACTTTAAAGGGCAATGACTCCTTAAGGTGGTCAATTGAAAATTTTGGACCTGATGAATATTTTAATTTCAGAGATATAAGCCAAAAACTGCAATTTAACTCTATGTTCAAATTTTAGCCATGGCGGCCATCTTGGTAGATGGGCGCGGTCATCAGATACATTTTTTAAAACTGGATACCATAAGGATGATTAAGCCATAATTTGGTTTAACTTGACCTAGTAATTTCAGGAGAAGATTTTTGTAAGAGATTACAAAAAATTATGAAAAATTGACTTTAAAGGGCAATAACTTCTTAAGGGATCAATTGACAATTTTGGCCATTCGACTTATTTGTAGATCATATTTTGCTGAACATTTTTTATGTTTACAGTTTATCTCTATCTATTATAATATTCAAGATAATAAATAAAAACTGCAAAATTTCCTTAAAATTACCAATTCAAGGGCAGCAACCCAATAACGGGTTTTCTGATTTGTCTGAAAATTTCAGGGCAGATAGATCTTGTCCTGATGAACATGATTATTTCATCAGATCTGCTCTAAATGCTTTAGCTTCAGAGATATTAAAAATATAAAATTGCATTTTAACCCCATGTTCTATTTTTAGCCATGGCAGCTATCTTGGTTGGTGGGCGGGGTCATCGAAAACATTTTTAAAACTAGATACCCTAAGAATGATTTAGGCCAAGTTTGGTTTAATTTGGCCTAGTAGTTTCAGAAGAGAAGATTTTTGTAAAAGTTAACGACGACGACTGACGACGGACACCAAGTGATGAGGAAAGCTTACTTGGCCATCTGGGCCAGGTGAGCTAAAAAATCATATCCGGTATATAATTTTTTTCTCTCAGATATAATGAATGTGCGAAGAGGCACACACATGTTGATTTCGACTACAACCATGGGGAACAAAACGAAAAGAAAATACTCAAAATATTATAAGATCTATCAATAATAAATTTAATTAGCTTTTATTATTTAACTAAATCTTCAATAATATGATTAAGAAATGTCAGAAACCAAAATTACACATTTAAAATGTGATTCGATGATTTAAGGAAAAAATTCAATTCATAGTTCAAAGGCATTTGGTAGTATCTTTGATAGGTGTATTTTCATGTGCATATATTGCTTTAAATTTAATAAAACCGTTTTAATTGCAATTTGTAAATTTTCCATTTGACCAACCAGTATAACGATGAAACAACATTTATAGCGCAAAAATTATAAACGCGAATACTGAAATGACTTAAGCAAATTAATCATAATACCCAAACGATTAACATACAAACAAATAACATGGAGTTTAAAGCCAAATTAACCTTGCAATATGAAAGCTGAGATAGAATGCCCTGAACATAATGCATTATCATGCTTCACATGGCTTACCTTGCTATGTATTACAGAGATTTAACCTTATTTTTTTTCTAAACAGTTTTGAATATAATAATACAGTGTGTGCAATAACATTATTTCTTTTGTTCTTAAATTTTGGTAAAATAAATATTCCAACAATATCTACAGAATAAATAATTATATAATGAATTTTCTTTGCAACTATATTTTGTTGAAGGAGCTAGACGAAGTGCTAATTCTTTTCATGTTTTGAAAATTATAGAATGGCATCTCTTTTTCATCATATTGGAAAGATCCTGCTCCATAAAAAGTCCAGTCTTCTGCATCAAACTCCGAACTGATCTCTGATCCGTTGTATCTTGTTTGACTTCTGTTTCTAAATGAAACCTTTTCTTTTTTGTGCCTTGAAAAAACAACACGTATTACTATAATAGCTATTATATACATCAGTTGATAAAATGCAACAATTGATAAATGCAGTTTAAAAAAAAATATATTTAAACATTAAAAAAATTGGGAAATAATACTTCTAGAAAGACAATTTTAATCATACTTTTCTGTTACCAGTACATTTAGTAATTAGCAATTGAATGTGCAAGCATTTGTTTTGAATTTAGCATATATATGCTTGTTTGAAAACATTCAATCTTGATTTCTGGTTCCGATAAAGCTTAATGTAATTAAGACGTTGTCCTTGTTGAATGCTGCACGTTGCCACTCTTTTCTGTCTGTTAATTTTTATAAATAAACCATAAACTATGCGACATTATTTTATTCTGATAAATATATGTATACAGTCATCTCTCATTATCTCATAGTTGATCGAATTGACAAAAATGATCTCAGATTTCAGTAGTATGAATATCATACAAATTTATCAAACTTAGCAGATGTTTCGAATATACCAACTGTATACTTCAATCCATTATCTTTGAACTTAAATCTTAATCAAGTTTATACAGTATAGTAAGCTGTAATTAAAAAAGTACATGTTTCATTCGTAGACGTCCTTTTTTTAATCTTATGTTTTGTGACAGTTATCTATCAGGATTTCCATGTGTAATGCATAAAGTTTTCCCCTGATAACCCTCATAGTCTAATTTTATATAAAAAAAAATACAGTTCACATCTGAAATAAAATTCTGACAAACTACTTGAAATTAATGTTTTATACTGCTTTAAAGGAAAATCTTTGTGGTTCTACCAAACCATAAAAATAGCAACATTTGTAAAATATATTGTGAATTGTCTCGACCCATTATAAATTCTTAAATACAAAACTTACCTGAGACTTCTGTAGTAAAGGCTTACTATGGCAGTTACAATAAGGGCCACTGTAATAACGGCACCAAATGAACATAAAATCACATATACTACCCTCATTTCATCGCCTGAAAAAAGTTGTCATGCACGTAGCACTTTGAATGCTTTTTTTTTAATTCAAAACACCCAGTGGAAAATGTAAAGTTTGAAGTTTTATAAAATAGTAAAGTATTCTGTTTTAATAAATTACTATTTTTGCGGAGCCAAATAGGGCGGTAAATACTCTCATATTTGCAAAGAGTACAGAGACAAATATGTAAATACTAATGGCCGATGCAATTGATCATGGGCTTATAAAGCGTTATATTTTTGTCCCTGACATCCCGATCCGTAAATAAATATTTGTATAATTCAAAACCTAATGATTGCATATGTTTTCCCCTTCGGAAGGTATTGAATTTGTTGAATGCGTATTTGGAATAACTAAAGTCATACATTCACAATGGCTAGAGATACATGTATAGGAGAGGGTTAAGATCTCAAAAACATGTTTAACCCCACCGCATTTTTGCGCCTATCCCAAGTCAGGAGCCTCTGGCCTTTGTTAGTCTTGAATGTTTTTGAATTTTAGTTCATTTATATGTTTCGGAGTTGAGTGTGACGGGATTTCTCGCTGTGTTGAAGACCCATTGGTGGCCTTGGGATGCATTATGCTCTTTGTTCGGGTTGCTGTCTCTTTGACACATTCCCCATTTCCATTCTCAATTTTACAAGTAAATCTTAACAACTTGAACACGAATGTCTTGATGAGCATACTTTATAACATTTTATTACAAACAGATAAAATTCAATAATCTACAAGGTTTTCTTGAAATAAATGAGTTAAAACATCCGATTCTTTGTGAACACGGATTTCTTTTTACTATTCAAGCAAGCATTACACAATTTGTGTGATATTTGTCAAAGAGGGATATTTTGACTTCCTTCGCAGGTTATCGGTTCAAACGTGGAGTTTACAAACTTTTGAATAATCTCCTCATAGATCTGGTATGTAGGCAGGGGTAAACATTTAAGTTAGACTTTTCTTTTATTTATTATGATATTAATAATCAATTACAATATACATTGTATAACAAGTGGCGGATACACAGCAGTACATTGCTATTTTCCTTTCGAATAATTATTCGGTCTGTCATCTCATATGAAAAGCCTGCAGATGAGTCCCATTGCATATGATCCCATTTCAACCACTGAAAAGGGGACGAAATTCACAAGGCCAAACAAACGCCAAATTGATTAATTAAATTCTAGGTATCATTTCCAAAAAAAAAAGATATTTTGAAGTATTAAAGTAAAATTTAAAAACAAATAGAAAGATTATCAATACGAAGTTATCAGAAAAGATGGTAAAATCCATCATTTTTTGTGAATAATTGTATGTGGAATGTGGTATGTTTGTTTATTAGATACATCATTGATTACACAAACAAAAAAATCGAATGGTTTATCCAGCACTCAGTACTACATGTAATAAAATTAAGGCTAACAAGGTTTTGATACATTTGATTAATTTACTCTATGCGAAAAGAATTCTTGCATGTTCATTTTAGTAACATTTTGCTAATCATTTATGCATGTAAACAAATTGTTTAAATCAAATTCTCACGGTACATACGACAATAGCACGGATAGACGAGTGATGGCTTAGAAGGAGTCTGTACTTTTATAAGAAATGACTTATACTTTAAACAAAATAACACTTTAATATAGTAAAAATTTACAAATAATAAAATTACCTAATACTGATAAATGTTCAAATAAAACTGTTCCTTATGTTTAACTATTTTAAGTTGAATTGCTGCATGAAAATTATACTTCCGGTTTACGGATTTTGTTTCTGAATGCTCATCAAAACTAGCCTAATATAACAAGTATACGTTACGTTTTTTAATTTAAATTTTTTACTGAAATGACAACTAATAAATACTGTATCAAAATTTGACAACCGTAGTTTACCGATGTTCAAATCTCATAATTCGACTTAGTAGACAAATCAAGGTAACAAATCAAAAACTGAGTTAATCGCATGTACTCTAAAAGACCGAAACCTTGGGCGTCGATACGGTTAGCGTCTCCTGCTATAGATATAAGAAGATGTGGTATGAGTGCAAATGAGACAACTCTGCATGCATCACAAATTCACACTCCGTCAAAATATCTCATAATTACTGTTTAGACGACTATTCTGGTATCTTAAGATCTAAGACTGCGTAAACATGTCGTTAGTGAGTTGCGGCACATACAAATTGTACCGGTCAACCAATTTGTAATGGTGACTGTACAATTGTGTAATGTCGATATCCGTCTTTATTCCTCATAACTCTATGCAGTTTTTGTGTAAGGAGCATTACCCCTCTAATGAAGTCCGTATGATGTGAACATGCACGAGCGTAACATATCAATTGAGATATGTAACCATATATATTGGAGCAGAGAGTATTTTACTGCTGAGAGATGGTTATTTGGAAAATTGAAATCATCACGTTAGTCATATATTCTAGTTGAAGTCGTCCATCTGGGACACTTCCGAGAAAAAGACCAAGATATGAAACAATCCTTTTAGTTTTGGTATTATCCTTTATTTAAAGTCCACTGGGATATAATTGATGCAAGCACTCACTGACACCTGGGTTATTGAGTGACAGAACAGCATCATTATATTTGAAACTGAATTTAAAGAAATTTGCAAGATGTTTTAAATTCATTTTGTCTCTGAGAATGTTTTGTATTAATTCTGCTTCATATGAAAATAAAAACTAGTCGGCCAGAAGATATGCACAATTAGTACCAAATTGGAATACCGACTGTCTGTTGAAATATCAAACCAACAAATATGTTGGCGATCAAAAAGTCCAGCATCAGGGTTACATCACCTTCGATTGGTTTGTTTTAGGAATTAGTGCCGTTTTTCAAAATATAAATTTTTCACAACTTAAAACAAAAATACGTAATTATGATTCCTATTTTTGTAGAAAAAAATACTTTGTTTATTGAGACGCTGTATTTGATATTTCAATAGGTCACGGGGAATTGCAGCGTGCAGAACAAGAAAAAGGTTTTGATATTACTGTAAAATTATAAAAAATGTGATTTTGCAGTAGATACTTATATTTTATAAGAATTCACATCTGATTGACACGGCCAGTAGCTATAGAATATACCTCATCACAAGATTTCTGAAAGGATCTGTTAATGTAGATATGATGGCGATAAGACTAAAGAAAGATGTTAATTCGAACATTTTAACTACCCGGCTATTTATCGTTCTCTGTAAGGATTTTTCTAATAAGTTAGAAGTCTGGTAACAAGACAAGAGATGTTCATTGTCCTTTTATATGTTAATACCAAAGTAGAGAAGTACAGATTTGTGATTTCCTAAATTTTCTGTTTGGTGAATGACGATGGGGTATATGTTGGATTCGCAGTTTTGTTATGAATTCCGAGTTCATTAGGTAGACATTCCTATGATTTGTGCATATAAAAATAATGTTGTTAGAGGCTTTGTCTGCTGACAGAACATATTTTTTATGAAGAGAGGATGTAGCATCCACGGGCTTCCTGAAAGGGTAAAAAAGCCGTGTGCTCATTGTACGTCGTAAAAGATAATATAGACACTACAATACATTTATAAAGCAATGATTAACTTATTTAAATGCTTACTTGACTCGTCTGATACTTCATTCTTGATTTGTGTGTCTGATGTTGTTATTTTCCCGATGACTGAAGTTTCATCTGCCTTCGTAGATGTATCCTCTTCCAGAGGTGATGTTTTCTGTTCAGTCCTAGTCGTAATTGAATTTGTTGTGGTTTGTAAGTTTTTTGTTTTTGCTGATGTTTCTAACTTTTGTGTTGTCCGACCGCTGGTTGTCGTAAGTTTTGTATCTTCTATTGTTACTTCTTGTGTAGTTGGTTCAAACTTTGTTGATTGCGTTGTGCTTGTTATTGTTGGCTGTTTTGTGGTGTCGGATCTTGATGTATCACCTACTTTTGTGGATTGTGTTTCAATAACTCCTTTAGTCGGATTTGTTGTTTTTTCTAGTGAAGTTTTGAACATATAACTTGTCGAAGGCGTAGTTTCACTGGATGTTGACTGTTTTGCTTTATCGGTGGTAGAAGTTACCTCAAACGGTGATGTCTGCGTTGATTGGTCAGCTGTTGACATAAGATCATTACTCGTCGTCGTTTTTGTTGTGATTGTTGGTGAGGCAATTTCATCAAATGTTGTAGGCTGTGGCCTTAAATAAGCCGTAGAAGTCATCTTAGAGGACGTTAAATTTGTTGTAACGTCTAGGGAAGTAGTTACATCATATGTTGTAGGCTGCGTTGTTAGTTCAGCTGTGGTCGTCACCTGATCAGTTGTCAGCTTTGTCGAAACCTCTGAAGAAGTAGTTTGTTTATGTGTAGTCGGTGTTGTTAGACAACTTGTTGTCTGTTTTGTCGTTACGTCTGATGTAGTTTGTGCATCATATGTTGTCTGTTGTGTGGATAGTTGAACTGTGGACTTCAGGAAATCAGTATTTGTTGTCGGTTTTGTTGTTGCATCTAGTGAAGTAGTTACGTCATATGTTGTAGTCTCTGTTGTTAATGCAGCTGTGGTCGTCAGCTGATCAGTTGTCAGTTTTGTCGTAACCTCTGATAAAGTAGTCTGTCTGTGTGTTGTCGGTGTGGTTACGCCACTCGTTATCTTTTTTGTCGTCATGCCTGTTGTAGTTGTATCATATGTTGTCTGTTGCGTTGATATTTTAACTGTGGATGTTCGCCAATCAGCTGTTGTCGGTTTTGTTGTTACATCTAGCGGAGTAGTTACGTCATATGTTGTACGCTCTGTTGTTAGTTCAGCTGTGGTCGTCAGCTGATCAGTTGTCAGTTTTGTCGTAGCCTCGGATGAAGTAGTTTGTGTAGGTGTAGTCGGTGTCGTTAGGCCACTTGTTGTCTGTGTTGTCATCACGTCTGATGTAGTAGTTCCATCATATGTTGTCTGTTGCGTTGATAGTTGTTCTGTGGACGCCAGCCTATCAGTTGTTGTCGGTTTTGTTGTTACATCTAGGGACGTAGTTACGTCATATGCTGTAGTCTCTGTTGTTAGTTCAGCTGTGGTTGTCAGCTGATCAGTTGTCAGTTTTGTCGTAGCCTCTGATAAAGTAGTTTGTTTATGTGTAGTTGGTGTCGTTAGGCCACTTGTTGTCTGTTTTTTCATCACGTCTGACGTAGTAGTTCCATCATTTGTTGTTTGTTGCGTTGATAGTTGAACTGTGGAAGTTTGCCAATCAGCTGTTGTCGGTTTTGTTGTTACATCTAGTGGAGTAGTTACGTCATATGTTGTACGCTCTGTTGTTAGTTCAGCTGTGGTCGTCAGCTGATCAGTTGTCAGTTTTGTCGTAGCCTCGGATGAAGTAGTTTGTGTAGGTGTAGTCGGTGTCGTTAAGCCACTTGTTGTCTGTGTTGGCATCATGTCTGATGTAGTAGTTCCATCATATGTTGTCTGTTGCGTTGATAGTTGTTCTGTGGACGCCAGCCTATCAGTTGTTGTCGGTTTTGTTGTTACATCTAGGGACGTAGTTACGTCATATGCTGTAGTCTCTGTTGTTAGTTCAGCTGTTGTTGTCAGCTGATCAGTTGTCAATTTTGTCGTAGCCTCTGATAAAGTACTTTGTTTATGTGTAGTCGGTGTCGTTAGGCCACTGGTTGTCTGTTTTTTCATCACGTCTGATGTAGTAGTTCCATCATTTGTTGTTTGTGGCGTTGATAGTTGAACTGTGGGCGTTAGCCAGTCAGTTGTTTTTGGTTTTGTCGTTACTTCTTGTGTCGTTGTTACATCATACATTGTGGACTTTGACGTTTGTTCAAATGTTGACGTCATCTGATCTGTTTCAAGTTTAGTCGTAATGTCTTGAGTGGTAGTCATATGGGTTATTGTTTCTTGAGTGGTAATCGTTTGTGTGGTTGTTTCATCTAATGTCGTTTCTGCGCTTGCTGTTGTAAAATATGGACAGCCATCCTAGACGTGGAAACAAATGTATTAGCAAAGCTTCTTTTTAAGATTAATTTTACGTATGGATGAAACTCTTACAATGAGAAAATTTAAATTATCTATTTTTCTTCTTTAAAATATATTTTTTAAAACATCGTAACTGTATATTTCTTGTTGTAAGTGAAGGTCTATTCTGACAAAGCTGCATCTATATTCAATGAAGTATGAGTTATTAACATAACACATACTAATTTTCTACTATGTATACACATGGTCAGTTACAATATGACTAAATTTAACAATAAATCCATCCAAACAGTAACATAATTTGTAGAAAAAAAGAAAGGTAAAACTAAAGTACAAAAATTTTAAACAACGCACCATAACGTTCTAAAATGAAACTAAATTCTCTTCTAAGACTAACAAAAATTGTGTCCATGCTACTTTTACCATTATTATCCTCAGTGTATTATTGGAATTTACAGAATAAATATGATAATTAAATTTAAACGCCCCTGGGTTGGCAGGTGCATCCTGGGTGTAATATTTTGCTGAGTTTTCGGGATGTATTATAATAACCAATGAGACGGTCATTATTCAACATAATAAAACGAGAAAGGAGATTTAATGGGCAACATGAGTTCTTTAACGTGCCATTAATATTCCCACAAGCCAAGCTCTAAGTCGTTAATTGTCTGACAAACGACCTAAATTTGAAGTAGTCAGTGAATGGCCGCCACTTATATAGCGGAACAGTAAGTTAAAGGATATATTATGAATTCCGCCTACAATGTTATGAATATATTGTAAAGCTTTATTTTTATTGTTCAAAATATAGTGTATAATAAATAAAAACAACACTTTAAACGTTTGGTGCGTCCGAAAAGTTTTCTCTTTCAACTTTATAAGGAACTCGCAAACATAAAAATGTGAAAGCCAAGGTTTATACCCGAGGAGTCATATGACCTTAATAAGAAAAAACAGAGAATAGCTTAATTCAATTCATCATTGGTAAACTTTATTAGCATTGTATTTTACTCGTTTAAAGTGGTATGGGGGTATACACGAAAAATGATAGAACGTTTGCATACTTTGCAAAAATGTAGTATATATTGTTTTCTGCCCTTTGGTCAGGTTGTTTTCTATCTGACACATTCCCTATTTCCATTCTCAATGTTATGATATGTTCTATACAAGCTATTTTTCAAGCTACAGGTTGTGAAAAAATGACGCATTTTCTATGTTCATGTATCTAAATTTTTCTAGAATTGATTCTATAAAAGGTGTTTCGGTTAAGGTCGTATGGACCTATGCCTATCCTCATGAGGTATCCCTGGCCAGATGTTTTTCCTTTTATAATATTAAGAATTGTTCGAATTTGATTTTTACGTATGGGGAGACTAAAGGTAATAATGTGTATATTTCAAATATCAATTGTCCTCCAAAAATGAGAGGGATGGGGTAATTATTCAGTTTTTGGACATAACTGTCTTCCAAGGTGAAAGATTTGAAAAAAAAATCTAATTTTAGACATTAAACTATATAGAAAACCAACTGATGATGTTCAATATCTTGAACGAACATCAGCCCACCCTACGTTCAGTATTTAAAGGCTTCATAACTGGAGCTATTATTCGCCTTACTAGGTCTTGCAACAACTGAAAAGACCTCTATGAAGAAGATCAACTTCTTAAGTCTAAACTTCTTAAAAGAGGACATGCAAAAATGAGATCGACATTATTATAACAAAAACAAGAGAAAAAGAAAGAAAAGAATTTTTAAAATCTAAAAATAAAATTAAGAAAAAGGCCTATCACTCGTTTTTGCAACACGATTTAATCTGATATTTAAAGGAATCGACAGAGCTATATGAAACAAATCAGAAAAGCAAAAATACTATTTCCAAAACCTCCGATTATTGCATACAGAAGATATAAAAATCTAAAAGAGTATCTAACACATTCAAAAATAAAAAAAGGATATATTAAGATAAAATCCAACAAAAGATAAAATATCATGCATAACAAATTAACAGAAAAAATATTAAATCAAAGGAATATAAAAAAAGAAAAAAAGAAAGAAACGAATGTATAAACAGGTGTCGTATCCCCATACGTAAAAATCAAATTCGAATAATTCTTAATATTACAAAAGAAAAACGTAAGGTCAGGGATAAAAAAAGAGGGACGAAAAATACTAGAGGGACAGTCAAACTCATAGATCGAAAACAAACTGACAACGTCATGGCCAAAAAAAAAAAAAAAAAAAAAAAAAAAGACAAACAGACAAATAATAGTACAGATGACACAACATAGAAAACTAAAGACTAAGCAACAAGAACCCCACCAAAAACTGGGGGTGATCTCAGGTGCTCCGGAAGGGTAAGCAGATCCTGCTCCACATGTGGCACTCGTCGTGTTGCTTATGTTATTACAAATCCGGTAAATAGTCTAATTCGGTAAGTCACATTCGTGAAAAGGGAAGGGTATTGTAGTTACGACATAAGGAACATATACGATATCATCTGTGAAACGGTTATTCCATAACGGTCAACCAACTCGTGATGGCGTCCATAAAATTTACGAAGGGATGACTTCAACTTCACCATTTGGAACTCTTGGTTAACTGATGAGGATAGGCATAGGTCCATACAACATTAACCGAAACACCTTTTATATAAAAAGGAACGCAGACTCAGCCCTGTGATTCTCTTCTAAGAATACACACACTATTAAAATTATAAGCACGCATGAATGTCTTTAATAGTACAAAAATAAATACTGACAAAATATTCCATAACAAAAAATTATTATTATACACTGAGTAAATCAATTCTGTATTACTCTAGATATACGTACATAGAAAATAGAATTATTACACAGGATTATAATAAAATATATTCGATTGGTCCTGGACCCGTCTGATTTTAATATAATTCGATGAGATGAAATATAGTATGTACCATTTCTTCCAAATTAATCATCATTCACTGTAAGTGAATTTTTGAATTCAAAACAGTATATATTGCATACGTACAAAAAATACAGGTTAAAATGGGAAAAGGTTATAAAGTGAGGTAAATGTTCATGAGACAATATACCTCAAGTTAAATGAAACCCATTTTCAGATATATCAAACACATTAATATTTATTTATGGTGTAGTTTATATATTATTTAAAGATTTGGGAAGTTTTCCCGAAAAAACTATGAAAAAAAGAAATTTTGTAGAATCTGGTGCCTTTTATAAAATGGTTTTAAAGACCTGCCGAGTTATTTATTTTTAATACATTGTAGGTCAGGTACAAAAGAACAAACCATTCATTTTTGTCAGTAACTAGGCTGAGTTATTTATTTTCAAACTACAAAAGAACAAACCATTCATTTTTGTCAGTAATTAGGCTGAGTTATTTATTTTCCAAATCCTACTGACCCCCCCCCCCCCCCCCCCCCCCATATTATCAAAATCAAAAAGTCGTCCCCTAATGATGAATGATACCAGATTTCTAAGATATACTTTTGAATCATAATTTTAAGGAAACATACCAATACTACGCAGGTAATTGTGGTGGAGTTGCATTCATGACAAAGTTCGTCATAAATGATAATTCTAACTGAATCTCCAAAGTGTATTCCATCGTTTGAAACACTTATTTCATATCCTTCAGCAATTATCGTTTCTGCTGTCGATCTTTTTCGTCTCGAAGACTGGAGCTCACATGTCACCATAAAACCATTTCTATAGTCAGCTTTTACCACTGTACCGTTTGATATGTACACCGTTTCATTCTCTAAAATCTGATACATGTAAGACATTTATTAGCTTTAAAAGGGAACTGATCAATGTAATCTGTTAACATGATTCAAGATTGTACATTTTTGATGGTAAGTGATTTAAAATTTAAATTTTCAACTGATTAACTTATGGAACGAAGAGCAAACGATGAGAAAATATAGGATATGTGCTAGAAGGGTGCGAAAAGAGAAAACAAATGGCTATGGTATATATTTTCGATCAGCTGTATTGGCCCTCAACTCTCTTGCTAATTCAGTTAACCTCGAATCTATACCAGGGCCAATACATAAAAAGCAAATTACATTGTAATAACCTTACATACTCTTCCAATGTCCTCCTGTTGCATTTAATACGCACGTATTCTGTAGTATTATTATTCTTACCTGAAAATGATTCCTTTTACACCACACATCTGATGTTGGAAATATTCCATAAATATTTGTTCTCCTACATGCACGGGAACGTGTACCGCATAATCCTTCTTGTGGAACACTTATATTAGAGGGAGGAACATTTACCTCTTGAGAACAATCCGGGCCTACAAATCCGTCAAAACAGTAGCAAGTACCTATAATAACATGATGACATTTTGGGTAATTGCATATACGGCATACCTAACATCAAATGTTGTTATGATTTAAGATTGGATACGAATTAAAAGTTACAAAAAATATATGCATATTGTAATATCAACACTAGAATGGTAAAGATATGTTTGATTCTTTTCCAACTATATCAAAAATTTTGCACCTCCAATGAAATAAAAGGGGATAGGTCATATCGTTTATAGTCCAATTAGTCTGTGCAATTTGGTTATCCCGTACAGTTAAATTTGAATCTTTTGTCGAAATATCATATCTTTTGGCATACCCTTTCTTTTCGGTGCAATGTATGGTTCATGATTTTATTGTTTTGTTTTAGATATAGTCTTGTTGTCAACAAAAGAATATATTACCTGTTGTACAGTTTCCGTTTCCTGAACAATTGTTAGAGCATAGAAAACTTGTGGCGTATTCTAAAATGGTTTGTGTCCCATTGTCTGTTTTCAGTATGGAAAGAGTTTCATTTCTATAAGCTTCCACAAGTGTGATAGTTTGCATTGCTCTTGCAGTGTCTTGAATGAAAGTTGTGTCCCCTGTTAACTAGGAAAAAGACCAATAAAACATAATAAGAATGTTTAAAAAAATAGATTGTTTGAGCTTCAAATTCTTACCTTAAAATCACAAAATTTATTTTGATGATGAAAAAATTAGGGATCACTCAGGTCAAGACTCTTTCAACAGAACTTTGAAAACTGCTTTAACGTAACTTATACGATTTTTTTTATCTTACCATATATTAAACCTAAAGACATAAATACATATAGATATTTAATCTGAAAAAGTGACGCCCTACAAAGCTGCAAACCTATCTAAATAACTGGTCCCGTTAGATCAACCAACCGTGCAAGGGTATTCGTTACAAATGCTAAATAAGCTAGTCATTACTCTCGTGAATAAATACTGCTGCAAATAAGAATAAAACAAGTTATATGTTATTTGGAACAACTTAAAAAATTATAGCAATAACATCATGCTATAAAAATATTACCACAGCGACAGTGATTCACAGTTTTTAGCCAAACACTAAATTCGGAACATATCCTAATCATACATTTTTTTATAGAAAGTATAATTAACCAATTGGAATGTTTTAATAGTTAAATGCAACGTCGGTTTATTGGTGATTTCTTGTTCAATGCAGCTTTAAATATTAAAAGTTTTGGTATGTTATAATTCTATTTGTATACAAATTATGTTATGGAGCTCAGGAAATAAAGGATTTTGTTTACATTAAAGACAAAAAGTTGCAAACAACTAATTTTGAAGGGTGAAAAAATATGATTTTTTGGGGTTTTGTTTAAAGCATTTATAAAATCGGAATTTTAAAATAATATTTCGCCATTAACATTAATTTTAGTTCAATTTTGTTAAAATAAGCTCAAAAAGATTTCTGGTGTATCATTTGCTTGCAAGTTTATAATTTAACCTCATTTGAATCCGTATTCATGCGAATTTTGATTTTAAGTTGTGCTCAGCATGTTAAGTGATTAAATGAATGTCAGCCGAAAAAAAAAATGATGAAGGCAGCAAAGTTTCAATTGCACATGTCGATATTTAAGTAGATGACGTTTTGAATAAATGAAGTGGACATGGATATGACAACTAAAAGTCCTTTAAAAGATGCATAGTCACATTTCATTATATAAAAATAATCTGAAAGATGAAACATTGTTCTATTCAAACATCTATCTGAATCGCTACTCCCGTCAAAAGAAAATAAGTACTTACAAAAATACCGAGCTCCAAAGTAAACTGAAAAAAGGGAAATCCATTAAACCAAGCAAAATCAAATGCTCGATTATACCAACCAACGGAACGAAAGGAAAACAGCTGCCATATTCCTAACTTAGAACAGGCATTTTCAAAGAACATGTAGCGTAACCCTGGTTTTATAGCTTACTTTACCGCTCACTTGTATGGCAGTTGTTTATAGTTCCGTTATATTGACACAATTGGGGGAGCAACCCAAATAGAAATAATTGGTAAACGTGACAATAATTGGGACCAAGGAGTCAAAACTGAGTAAACATACATCACAGACATACAAACACAACTGACTTAAAAATGCAAACACAAAGACAAATATAAATCTGACAAAGGCGCCAAAAATAAAGGTTTGTTAGTACATACATTATCGTAAAACATAATTCCATTTACACTTTCCCATTACCATAATGATACAATAGATTTTACCACATCACCCGGTTGGTGATTGAGAAAGTTAAACTTTTCAAATTTAATTCATTTGTATATATCGGCTCTTCAAAGTCAAATGTTTTGCTTTTGAAAATACTTTGACCTCAAGCATCACTAAAAAGATATAAATGTTGAAAGGCACATCAGTTGCATCTTGCTGCCGTAAATGTTACAAATGTTGACATATATGAGTCAAATACAAAACATATGTGATGAGTAGTTTTATCATTGTAGCAGAACTGGTGCATTATTATGTTTCATAAAAGTGCATAAAACCTGTCAAAGGCAAACGCTCGACTATTTTAACCAACGGAACGACTGGAAAACAACTCATGTATTAGACCTTATCATACTCATAACGAATTTTATTTGCTAATTGAAAATTAAGCTGAATAAAATAATTTAAGACAGCAGAGAAGATAATTCTATTTTTAATTGTTTATTACTAAGACTTAAATAAAGAGTGAGCTATTTATACTGTAAATTTATGATGTCTCTAGTCTGGTCAAAGGGTCAGAGTGTCATACTTAACCAAACGATAAATTGTTGAAATTAGATAACATGTTTTCACGTGCAGAGAAATTACTTATGACCAGTGCATGATTGGATTACATCTTTTTTATTGGTCAATGATCTTGCGGGGTCAGCACGAGTTCACGTGTAAGTGCGGTGTGGTCACTTCCTTTTATCATCAGCATTTGATGTGTTACCTTGTGATTCTTATCAAACAATTTGTTAGAAATTTTAATGTTATGGATAATTTTGGACTGGAGTGATTTCATTTTAGCAATTTGAGGTAAAATCGAGCTATACTTTTATTTTTTAGCTATTTTATGCTTACATTCTGAACAAACGTACAGTTAATTTTTTACCATTCTTCCATTCGGATAGATCTCACGATTTTGATTTATGCAAAACATTTAAAGCAGTTAATTGGTCAAATTCATTTCTTTGTCAAAGAGATAGTGGGTCAAATTCATTTTGGTGTTGGTTGCGACACTGTGCGTTTGCGATCAAAATGTAATTATTTACCATACTTATAAAAATGATAGCTGATGATTAACCCGATGTTGTAATTTTACAAGTAACTGAATCCTTAATACCATCCTAATGTTTGCAGAACGTATATCCGCCTTGTGTATCTGTAGGAGACATGGTTCATTTAAATTTAACTACAAATACAAATGTTTTGCATAACTATAATAATACCATACATGTTAGAATGCAAAGTTACACAAACTTATATACAATGTTATTCACGATTCCATACATTTAAACACTCTCATATGAAAGAGCAAGACAGTTTAAGTTTTAAGGCTATGCTATTATTTATCTGGCTACAAACCCATTTGCCTTACTTGTTTGGGTAAGGTGGACGATATTTCAATTGGTGCAGAGAGCTTGGTTGCTTATACTTATGACCTCTGTGTATTTTTTTTTGCAATTATGTTTAAACATACACAAGTTTCTAAATTGTTTTTTAAGTGATTTAAACTTATTTTAACAATCATGAAGTGTTCTTGAATCATTTACAAGCAGTTTCAGCTTCTGTTTGATGATGGAAATCAGGTTTTTCCAAGAAAAAAACCGCAAACGACCGCACACGATTTGAAATTACCGGAGTTTCATTAGACCTTTTCTAACAGTTACAAAAAGTTTTTTTACCTGAAATTTCGTGGGGAGAAGGGGGTGCGGACTATGTACCATCGCGAACTATACAAGCCCGATTACGGTAGTGTTCATTGTTTTATGCTATGTCACGAAACTCATGCTTCTTTCGTAAATCTCGTCACGGTGGTTTGTTTGGAGCTTATAATTTTGCAAGTTAGCCTAATCGCTATAACTGTTAGTATTTTAATTTATGCAGGTGTACCTCGTTTGCTTAATGTTAGCGGTATAAAAAGGATATGTCTCTTACCTATATCGCAACCCAATGGTTATTTATTACGAACCAATTTACCTGTCTTTGCCTGTTTCGGTAATGTGGACGATATTTTAATTTTTGCAGAGGGCGAGGTTGCTTGTACTTATGCCCTCTGTGTATTGTTTTTGCAGAGGTCTAGTAGCTTGGTATATGACCTCTGTGTATTTACTTTTGCAAATATGTTATTATGTAGTAGGTATTGTTTTATGCCTCGTCATGAAACTCGTGCTACTTTTGAAGAGGTCGTAGTAGCTTGGTCTATGACCTCTGTGTATTTGCTTTTGTAAATATGTTAGTATGTAGTGGGTATTGTTTTATGCTTCGTCATGAAACTCGTGCTACTTTTTTTGCAGAGGTCGTAGTAGCTTGGTTCATGATCATTGTATTGTTTTATGCTTCGTCATGAAACTCATGCTACTTTTAATTATTATTTCGTCATGGTGATTGGTTTGGAATAAATTATTTTTGTAATCAATCCTTTTGCTACATACAAAATATTGCGATTATTTTGAGACATGTAGCTAGATTCACATGTTTGTCAGTTTATAATACATGTTTTTAATGTATTATTTTATAATAATTCTGTTTACTAGTATCATTCATGTACATGATATAGTTTGGGTTGCGATGAACGTAATTGATAATTTTTATGCCAATACTTATGCATTGTAAGGTCGTTTGCTTTTACTTTATACTAGATTTACTATTAAAAATAACAATGGACAAGGCATATATATTAGCTTGTTTTGGGGTCAGTATTGCCTGCCAACACGTTTATTATCTTTATTTCATATAATTACAACCGTATCTTGTTCTGGGTCAGTATTGCCAGCCAAAACGTTAATGATCTTTATTTCATACGATTGGGGTCTATATTGCCTATGCCGATGCTGTCTTTACACATTATTCAGACTGTCAATGTGGACATTTGATAGGCTACCATTAAATTGTTTTTTAAATTTTATGGCTCGGTTTAACTTTCTGTATGTATACATGAATTGTTCGTAAATCATATTATGGTTTTTAATGTTGCCTATTTAATTTAAATTCGTAATTATTCAAATTATATATATATATATATATATATATATATATATACAAGTCTAAATTGAAAACAACGTTCAAACCTATGATTGCGTTGGATAAAAACCGCAATTTTTATACGTGTGCATGCAAAACAAATTTCGTGTTAGAGGGGTCTAAGTACAGCACAAACAACATTTTCCAAAAGACCAAAAAAGTGAAAAAGTATATTTTAACAAAACGCATTTGACTAACAGGTCGAACAACAAATATTCTTAAACCCTGCTGACTGCCATTGGCGATTGCCAAATAAACGGATCACCGATGTAATAAATGGATCTTAATTATAAATGTAATACTAAACAGAAAACAATTAACTTGCGGAAAAGATGGTATA